AGTCCCAAATTTCGGTGAGTGCTTCGAGCCGAGCCTTTACATTTCAATTTCCCATTTTCCGGACCCACTGGCCGCTGTCCGCTATCGAGGGCCTGCGATCTCCCCTGTTTTTAGGGCCCCATGCGGAGTGTGAAAGGTATTATCGCTTTGACTCGATCTATAGTTGTTGTCGTTTATGTTTTCAGTTTCATTTATCAGTTTGTGGAAATGCCCGGCGAACAATGAGAAATTATGAGACTTGCTTTAAATCATTTACCATTTAACATTGCCATGATCCGATCCTGGGACTTGTACACAGGACTCGCATGGGGTTGTTCTAAGTTCCTCATTGGCCATCTTATCGCAACGCTGGGATCTGGCATTAGGATTTTCTCGTCGTTAGTTGCCAATTGAATGATTTCCTATATGCGGTTTTAATTGCGGCAGTACCGAGTTGACTTTTCCTATCCTTCAACTTTCCAAAGGGAAGTTCCACTTAATTAGCTTCGAATTGTTGTACGACTGCGAGACCGAGATGTCCGATGGTTGATAAGCTTCCGGACTGAAGGAAAGCGGAAAACTTTCTCTGCTCCCGGCAAGAGAGGGGTTGTATTGGAATAAAACTGCGTAATGATCTGCCAGATCTATGACTACCAGCCTTTATGGCGGGTATTCGAAAGTATCCCTTAAAGCAACTTATATACCTAAAATCTCTATTCATAATATCTTGGACAGAGCTAGTGCTAGAAAAATTATATAAGTTTTCGGAAGTAGTTGTAAAATTTAAATATTGCAATACAAAAATTAAGGAAAGTGTAGTATATAGAGGTCTTAATGTTGATCCTAAAATTTAAACTTAACTTTAATAACATTGTCATAAAATTTTGGAAATAAAACGACTGTGTTCTGAATTTCACTCAGTCAACTGATCTTTTGAGCACTCACATATTGTGACTAACCAGCCATGTGTTTGGCAATCGTGATAATCCATGGCCAAATCCCTTCAGACCAGAAGATCCAAAATTCTAACTGCCAGGGGCGTAACTTCCCACGACACCGCAGACGGATAGGGTAGATGCCGAATTTACGATGACATTTATGCGTAATTTTTGGTTCAATTTTATGGCCGCAATCGGACTGGGAAGAGAAAAGAGTTCTGCTTGCCAACGGCCCCCGCGGAGAAAGTGTCAAATAAATTTGATTGGAAAGTGATCTCTCGTAATTGAAGCGAAACAGTCAATTCCGGACCTCATTAAAGGGCCACACCCACCTTGAGCCGAGGGAAATCTGGAACCAGGTAGTATTCAATATTCATCCGCCTCATAATATGCAACGTCATGACTTTCTTCTGTGTCAACGCCCCTTGATCCTCAGTCGGCGCACCCTTTCCCATTGTCCATCGTAATCCTTTGAGTTCCTATCGCGTGCTACGATCCTGATCTTTGGGCGACTCCTTGGCAGAAAGGCGCCGCGGGTTGCTCGCTCAGTTCGTGTCATAATTGCATGGCTTTCGGGCCGTCGTGGAAGTGTGAAAATTATGGAGTTTCCTCCTCACCCTTTCGGCATCTTAATGATTATGTTTGTTTCCTTTATCTCTGACTTGAGATCGCCGAGGGGCCCAAGGAATTTGTTTGCCAACTTTGCTTCATTCATATGCGTGAGTTATGGCATTCGCTTTTGGGTTTCTAGGGGTTGGTTTTCCTCTACGGGATTTCATCTTTTAGATTTCCGTTTTTTGCGTGCTAAATTGTGTTTTACGATCACCGTTTTCCCTGATCTCATCTCGGAGATATCGCAGGGAGCTCGACATGTCGGTTTCTTTTTTTTGCAATCGCTTAATTTTTTTATCGCTTTCGAGATCGTGAGAAGTAGTTCCGTTAGTTATACTTTGCCAAATAGGAAGTCTAAAAGAATATTATAAATGTTCAACTTAAAATTATCGTCCAGTGTTTCCAATATTTGAATTTTTTACCAAAATAAAATACAATAGTTTCAATTTCATACAGATTTTCTGACTTAGGAATTTATTTTATTGAAACCACCAACCTATTTTAGTTGAAATGCATTTTAAGATCTAACAGCATGCATATACATTCTATCAGGAAACTGTAGACCTATTTAAAAAATAAATTTTAAATGAATGTTCAATAAAAGACTGTTTAAAGCTTCTATGTTTGTTTCGAATTTGTATTAAAGTCTTTGATTGGGGTTTTGTCAATGCTTTTTCGTAACCAACTCCATTTTGTTTCGAGCTCTTGTTTGCCCTCCAACCATTTCACTTTGGTCCCCATTCCGACGTTCCCCATTCCAGTACGAGAGTAAATAGGCCCGACCACTGCCATCTGCCGGCGATGGTCGCCAGGTGTACCCATCAGAACTCATGCCATCCAGCAGATCCCCATCCCCAACCCCATCATCATCCCCATCCACCGATGTTGTAAACTTTTTTCAGAACTTAATTAGCTTTGACTGGGGTTGGGGGTCTTGTTCTTTGCCATCGAGTGCCCCGAACCCCTGGTTTTATATCGTACAATTACCCAGTGGAGCGCGTGCTGCAACCGCAGGTGCTAGAGCAGCACAGCACTCGGTTCTCTACCCATTTGGCAGTCGCCAGTTTCCAGCTCCCAGTTTCCAGTTCCCCGTTCTCAGTTCCCTATTCCATTCTCCATCTCCAGCTGCCGGTACTACCAATCAAACCTGCTCGGTGGCTTTCCTCGTTTCCAAACTCGAGTGCCTCGGATAAGGCGGATAAAACGCATACAAAGGCAACCGAAACTGGAAGTCGGCGAACCAATGGGCAGGCCGCATTTATCTCGAGCAACCCTCGTGCGATTCGACCGCTGGCAACTTAACAGTGCTGCGCAGAGCGGGCCCAGTTAGTCAGCCTTGCGCAGTCGATGCGAACGGACGCGTCGCTCCAGAGAAAAAAGAATAGTAGAGAAAAAAAAAGATAGTTAGGAAAACCCATAGAAAGGGAAAACGTGAACTAAAAGATACCGCGTGTGACAATCCAAAAAAAAATAAAACATTTAAAAACAAATCAAATATGGTCTTGAACGGCATGCCCATCAATATGCCTGTGGCCATACCAGTTCCCATGCCCGTGCCCAGTCCACCGGCCACCAAATCCCGCCTGGCCCTCGACTGGGACATCAACGATTCCAAGATGCCGTCGGTGGGGGAGTTCGACGACTTCAACGACTGGGCCAACGGACACTGCCGGCTCATCTATTCCATCCAGAGCGATGAGGCCAGGAAACATGCCAGCGGTTGGGCCATGCGCAACACCAACAATCACAATGTGAACATCCTGAAGAAGAGCTGCCTGGGAGTGCTTCTCTGTAGTGCCAAGTGCAAGTTGCCCAATGGAGCCAGTGTTCACCTGAGACCCGCCATTTGCGACAAGGCCAGGAGGAAGCAGCAGGGCAAACAGTGTCCCAATAGGTGGGTTGGCAACTTAAAAATTGATCAATGGGATATTTAAAACTAACTCTGTGATTTATTTATTTAACAGAAATTGCAATGGACGTTTGGAGATTCAAGCCTGCCGCGGCCACTGCGGCTATCCAGTCACACACTTCTGGCGAAGGGATGGAAATGGCATCTATTTCCAGGCCAAGGGAACCCATGATCACCCCAGACCCGAGGCCAAGGGATCCACGGAGGCCAGACGCCTGTTGGCCGGAGGAAGACGTGTGCGCAGCCTGGCCGTGATGTTGGCCAGGGAATCGGCTCTTAGCGATAAGTTGAGCAGCCTGAGACCCACAAAACGACAGGCCAAAATGCAGCCAATGCAGGAGAGCAAGCGCAGGAGAATGGGTGACCCCGAGGTGACCCAAACCAGCCAGGAGTTGATGGGATCAACGGGCTATCTGCCCACATCGACGCCCACACACAGCACTAGCTATAATCAAACTCAGGGATCATATGGCTCCACGGGATCGGCACAAGGATCTGTGGCCAGTCAGTGGAACGGAGAGATCTACTACGAGCCGGAGGGAACGTCCTATGCCAATGGAATGTACGCCTACGATATGCTCCACTCGCCCCTTTCCGCGCACAGCTCCACGGGAAGCTATTACCAGGAGACCCTCCCCCAGCAAGTGCCACATCCTCATCCGCAGCAGCAGCAACTATCCCCGCAGCAACATGTGCCAGCTAGCTACGATCAGCCGATCCCCTCGAGCTTCCAGTGCGGAATGCCCCTGTACGAGAGCTGCGATGACACCTCCAGTCTGACCAGCAGTTCGGGCTACAGCTCCGAGGATTACAGCTACTTCAACGGATATCTGCCCAACTCCCTGGACGTGAGCAATGTCAGCCAGAGCCAACATCCCAGCCAGGAGGGAGGTTTGTACACCACCAGCTCGGAGATCTTCAGTGTGTTCGAATCCACACTGAACGGAGGTGGAGGAGGTGCCAGCGCAATGGATCTCCTCTATGAGGGAGCCACAGCCTACAGCCACAACCATCAGCCACAGGAACAGGCCAGCTTCCTGCCCCTCGCCAGCTACCAACAGGAGCCGCAGGATCAGCTCCAGTCCGCCGATTACTTCTACAGCAACTCGGGAGTGGACAACGGATGGAACATCCAAATGGACCCGACATATCATCCAGCCACCAGCACGGATCCCGTCTACTGCTAGGTGGTTTGGGGATAATAGGGGGTGTTGCCCCCGAAGGATCTCTCATCGCAACTACTATTACTGAGCCACTCAAGCGTTGTTCTAGTCCCTAGTTGATTTCCACTCATGTTCCCATTGCTTGTTGGTCCTATTATTATGTATGAAATATTGTATTGAACGTTTCTAGTTTGTACTCTTGTACTTGTTTCCCAGCTATTCCAAAGTTTTAGAGCATGTAAGAATAATAATTATAACTTTAATCTGTAAGCACATAGAGCATTAAGTCACATTTCCCACCTATTTATGCATTTTTGTGTAGTAATAAACATTTTTCAACGAAAACTTAATCAAAGTAGCCTTTTTCGACTGGTGTCACACATGGAGAAGGAAGTCTGGAATAATAGTCAGTATACTTTCTGTAACGACACGAGTAGCATCTACAGTACTTCTAAAACAAGAAACAGTAAAATTTGCTGGTCAACCAAAGATTTTTAAAATGAGTCGTAGAGGAGGCAGAAACAATAGGCCTTTATTTGTGAGTAATAAATGTGCGGTTTTTTTGAGACCATTAAAACGCCTAAATTTTTTGAATAGCATCGGCAAGCAGCCGCTTTGATCAACAGTCGGGCCATGCAAAACTTTTTAAGTCGGCAGCGTTTTCAAATTGTTCCTCCGGGAGGATTTCGCAGATCAAGGATAAATGGGTCCAGGCGATATGCGTCTGCTAGTCAACGCGATCGGAATTCTACTAGTCGAAGCAGGGGGAATTCGCGTAGAAGTCGGCGTCGACGGGCCCGTAGATCCCAGGCGGAGTTGCCGGAAAGAAACATTACAATCAACATTGATCCTATGGATCTGCTCTCGGCTTTCGATGCAGTTATTTCATGGTGCCGTGAGCTAACTTCGGTGTCGCTACAGGTCGAAACAACAGAAGAGAACTGTGAGATCCATGTAGTTTTCAAAGGGAAATAAGTGTGTTAATAAACCTCTTACAGTGAATTTTATTTTTACCCCAGATGGGGTAGCTCAGAACGAAGAACAGAACTCCAATGATGGTACTGATGATCAGGACACTGAAGATGCCAGTGAACAAAATCCACGTCAGCAAGATCAGGACATCGATGAAAGTGCCGATGATCGGGAGACTGATGATGCTAATGATCAAAATCCTCGACAGGAAGTTCGGGGCTCCAATGAAAATACTAATGATCAAAATCCACGTCGGGAATTAGGGCGCTCCAATGAAAATACCAATGATCGAAATTCACGTCAGGAAGGTCTGGGCTCCGATGAAAATGCCAATAATCAAGAAGACCACTAAGAAGACCACTACCAATGATGAAAATCGGGAAAGTACCTAAGAGTACGATGACCGACTAAAACCATTTATTAAATCAATATAGATCTGTTCAATTTGCAACGAAAGCACATGTATCGATTGTACATTGTAAACTTTTGTAACAATAATGTTGTCTCCCCAAGCATTACCCAAATTAACTCTCTGAAAGGAAGCTTTAACTAATACAATTTTTAAAATTGTTATAATTTAACTTTGTACGTTTTTATTTATTTTGCAGATGGTTTTTTCCTTTGGGTACTTAGCTTTAATGTTCGTTAAGTTCTCTCTTATAAATTTTTATGTACCTCAAATAAAAGGATGTCAAATATATTTTTTCCCTACCAAAGGGTGTATAAAATTAAATTTGAAATTCATTTTCCACCGGCAATCAAATCATGGGTCGATTAAAGGGCTTACCTCCTGTCAGAGGCCACTCAAACATTTGGATATTGTTTCTGAATTTTATTTAAACCGATTATAAATAATTAAAAATATAAAAAAAGGTTGCTTCAGGGAAGGGGTTGCGTTTGGAATCGGGCAAGAAGTACTCGACCCTAATGGGGGTTTGAGATCGACCATAAACAAAACGCCCATTAGTTGTCATGTCGGATGGGAAGTGTGCCGCTGACGCGTGCGACCTTCAAGGATATTCGCACACTCGCAGAGCAGAAACAAAAATGAGGAATGACTTTGTTTCAAACGATATTTGCATACATAATTCGAGTCGAACCCCCTTGCCTAAATGAAAACATTTAAAATGTTTTGATTTCATTTATGTTAATTTCCAGCCATAAATCACAACAGAGCGTGTGCTTCCTGTCGAGCCAGCCTTCCTTCGTCCTGCAGCAATATTTGTCCTTGCTGTTTGATTAGCCCTTAACCCGAACCCTCGCATGCAAATGAGAACTCTTTGGAGTCGCTGACTCTGATGCTCATTTTGTGTTATCCTTGGGTGCCGAGGGGAGGAAGCCGAGATCACAAAGGTATTATGCAAATTTGCTGATGCTGATCCCATTGTTGCCGGTGTAATTCAATATTCGCGTGAATAAATGTGCGAATCCTTTGCCCAAGTCTTCATAGGCTGAGGTTTCGCAAATTCACATTTGCAATTCCAGAAACTAATTTCAAATGCAGATACGATTCGGTGCCAATTTGTTAATGCAGATTTTCGCACACTAATGAAGGCATTAGAGGTCTCAATTTGGGGTTAGAAACCATATAATGCAATATTCCTTTGGAAATCTCTATAATATATATTATGAAATTCAGTGAATTTGATTTTGTAAAACTATCATAACATTTATAATGATAGAAATGTTTCAGGAAATATATTAAATGTTGTATAGCTTTACAAGACTCATTAAAAGTGTGCGTATCCCAGTTCCTAAATACATGCATATAAAGCCAATATATATTTGTGAAAAAGAAAGAATATCTAGATCTTAAATAATGTATTAAAAATATAAGATGTTTGTCCGAACGGTCCTGTCCATTTATATTATGTTGTATTAATGCTTTCTATGATTATTCTCCACATTTGATAAGCCCGCTGATTGGAAGGTCAGGACAGTCATTCAGTCACTCAGCCGTCTACCAGCATTTGACTGACAGACTTTTGCAGTTGACATTAACCGACGAACTCGAGTGTGACTTTTTTGACTCTTCACACATCAGAGGCGGATCAACCTAGAAATCAAAACCGGCAGCTGCAGCTTCGGGGAAAAACAATTAACTATTTATTTTATAATACATGCCACATAAAACGGCTGCGTCAAAGGCCACAAAGGCGTGTTGCCACAATAAAGCGCATGGCAATGTGGCGAAATCTCATCCGAACCTATTTAGGAGTGGCCACTTGAAAGGACAATGGTATCAGAGAAAATGAGGCGCGTTTAATGCGTCTTCAATGAGTTCTGGATACGAGGAAGCGACCTGAAAAATTCGATTGACAAGCGTGTCCCACGGCCTGTTAATGGTCTAACCTTAAGCGGGGTGGGTCAGCGTGACAAATTCCCGAAAACAATGTCAGTGAAAGAGTCCTAGAATTCGGCACTAGTATATTGAAAAAATGTAATGTAAGTTCATTTTTTGTTTTTTTTTAACCAACACAGCTCCTCGGTTACCGGTAATATTAAAGATTATCTTAATATCCCTAATATCCTAGTTGACCCACAGAAAAAGTTTTTAATCGTATTTAACTTACCAACTGGATAGTACACTCTGTTCTCCCGAAAAGCACTACCTTTCCTAATATTTATGGTTTATTTTTTAACTTTGAGATAATAACAGACATCGTATAGATGTGTGCTCATTTAGATTTGTATTTATATGTATCCATGTTGTACTCCTCGATAAAGTTTGAATTCCCAATTTATTTTTAAGATTTTACAGCCATATCCGCGGATCAGCGGAAACCAAACTTCAACCCATTGAATAGTACTTAACGATTCCGGTCACCGGGGGATTACTCATAGTCGATAACTAGGCATAGAACCGTAGCATTAGGATAAGTTGTGAAATGTTAATTTCCATCTGTACGCGTAGTGTTAAAGCGTTTTCTCATTGTTTTTCCCGGCAAATAAATTATGAATCATGTTGATTTGTGAAAGTAAATAAAATTTCAAAAATAACAATTTCAAACGGATTTTCAAGGGAGGTTCTGTAAACCAGATGTAGAGGTCGCCCTGTGTAAGACAGTTGTGTAAAATGTATGTAAGATACTGTAGATAACAAATGTTTGAAGTTGTTCCCAGCGGTTTTAAGAGGCGCCCCCTACCAATCACGCACTGAACCACTGCAATTCACCATAGTCCGTTTACTTATGTTTAGGGTCATAACCATTATTAGCGCCACTTAGTTTTGAAGAGCCCTTTTTGGGCGACACCTAGTGAGTGTGTTTTAATTTATACAATCCTGACATGGATTGTTATAATATTGGTATTTTTCAGGCCGGGTGGTATTTTGAAAAGGCTTGGGCGCGGTCACACTGCCAATGTGCAACAAGTCGAATTGCCGCATCGTTTTTTATAGCGAATCGCGACCACATAACTAACGGTGCAAGATCAAAGTTTGATTCGTATAATCGTTAAACAGATAGCTAGTAAGCGAAAAGTGAAAACCCCATAGAATCGAACTGAGAGTGTGCAATGTCGGCAACGAGATTTCTGAGTGCCGTTGGCCAAATTTCACGACAGCAATTGCTGCACAATAAGTGCACGAGAGGTGGGTAAATTGATATCTTTTCCACGGAAAGGGAAAGTAAAGATTGCAATAGTAATACCAGAGTGGAATTTGGCCTCTTGGAAGTGGTACCGCTCTAGCGGTATCTCTCCCTCTCTCCAAAATTTCTTTGGTGAGCCTCCCCCGATGCCGCATAACTGGACTTTGCACTTTGTACTCTCTCTTGACGTATAGCCCCTGTCTCTCGCTTTCTGTTTTTTGTTTTCTGATTTCTGATTTCGAGGGCCCTGAGATAATGTCCACTAATCACGACAACCGATCTTTTAACCCCACGCAGCCCTGCCCATTTCGGCCCACCTCCTCCAGAGCCGCCGCCTGATGTCCACGAATCCGGCCCCGGTGGCCAGTGCCAACAAGCACCTCCACACCAAGGTGGTCAACGGTGTACTGGTGATCAAGATAGACTCCCCCAATGCCAAGGTCAATTCCCTGGGCTCCGAGGTGAGCGATGAGTTCGAGCGCGTCATTAGGGACCTGGAGACAAATCCTGCCGTCAGCTCCGCCGTCCTGATCTCTGGTAAACCGGGATGCTTTGTGGCCGGAGCTGATATCGGGATGCTGGAGGCCTGCCAAACGGCGGAGGAGGCCACCCTGATCTCCCACGGCGCCCAGCTGATGTTCGACCGAATGGAGCGCAGCAAGAAGCCCATTGTTGCCGCAATCAGTGGCGTCTGTCTGGGCGGAGGACTGGAACTTGCCCTTGCCTGCCACTACCGCATAGCCACCAAGGACAGCAAGACCAAGCTGGGTCTGCCGGAGGTCATGCTGGGTCTCCTGCCCGGCGGTGGCGGCACTGTGCGCCTGCCCAAGCTCACGTCCGTGCCCACGGCTCTGGATCTTGAGCTGACCGGCAAACAGGTGCGCGCCGATCGCGCCAAGCGACTGGGCATCGTGGATCTGCTGGTGGAACCTCTGGGTCCTGGACTCCAGCCTGCTGAGCAGAACACCATCGAGTACCTGGAAAAGACTGCCGTGCAGGTGGCCAACGACCTAGCCAGCGGCAAACTTCGCGTAAGACATCTTAGATTATAGATTTGAAATATTTACACATTGCATCAAATTGCTGACTTGAAGTTCTTACCCATTCTTGTTTGTCCCGAACTCGATAGACACTCACTGCTTATATATTTAAGCGTTTTATATACATTTGCTTAAGGTAAACAAACCCAGCATTTTGAGTGCTTCTTATTATTATTGAAGAATTTAATTTAACTTTCTCGTTAAATAAACCTTATTTGCTTATGCACAGGTAAATCGTGAAAAAGGAGGTCTGGTCAACAAGATCCAGTCCTTCGTCATGGACACCGACTTCGTGAAGAACAAGATCTTCGACACTGCCAGGAAGCAAGTGCTGAAGGCCTCCAATGGTCTCTATCCCGCTCCCCTGAAGGTTCGATATAAGGCGACTCTTCCCTAAATACTTACCTTACCCTTGTATTTAAACAGATCCTCGATGTGATCCGTGCTGGCGTGGATAAGGGAACCGATGCAGGTTACGAGGCGGAACGCAAGGGCTTTGGCGAGCTGTCGGCCACTCCCGAGTCTAAGGGTCTGATTGCCCTCTTCCGTGGGCAAACGGAGTGCAAGAAGAACCGATTCGGCAAGCCAGAGCGTCCAGTTAAGACCGTGGGTGTTCTTGGAGCTGGTCTGATGGGCGCCGGCATTGTTCAGGTCTCCGTCGACAAGGGCTACCAGGTGGTGATGAAGGATGCCACAGATGCCGGTCTGGCTCGTGGTATTGGTCAGGTGCAGAAGGGACTGGAAACAGCACTGAAGCGGAAGCGGATCTCTGGTCTGGAGCGCGATCAGACTCTTGCGAACCTGCGTCCCACTCTTGATTACAATGACTTCAAGAACGCCGACATCATCATCGAAGCTGTGTTCGAGGACATCAAGGTCAAGCACCGCGTTATTAAGGAGTTGGAGGCAGTTGTCCCCGAGCACTGCGTCATTGCCACCAACACCAGCGCC